TAGCACACTATAGCCTAGAGCCCCTGGACTCAATTGACCCTCCCACCTCAGTCTCCTAAGTAGCTGGGAATGTAGGCATATCCTACTATGTGGGACAGTAGTTGTCAAGTTTTGAAGGTGGAACTTTTATTTTGTGGTTAAGGATAATTTGTTTTTGTTTTTTTTGTTTTGGCACCTGGGACTGAACCCAAGGTTGCTTACTTAACCACTGAGCCACATCCCCAGCCTTTTTTTTTTTTTTTTAACTATTTATTTTTTAATTGTAGTTGGACACAATACCTTTATTTATTTTTATGTGGTGCCTTTTATAGAACCCAGGGCCTCACACATGCTAGGCAAGTGCTCTACCGATGAGCTACAACCCTAGCCCCTTTTTTTTCATGTTTTATTTTGAGACAGGGTCTTGCTAAGTCTTAGGGCCTTGCTGAGTTGCTGAGGTTGGTTTTGAGCTTACAGTCCTTATGCCTCAGCCTCCTGAGCTGCTGGGGCATGCAATCACTGTGCCTGGCTTAAGTGGAACTTTTAAGAGTACTTATATAAATCACACCATTATCTGGAAATCTTTGGGAAAACTGGAATTTTGAATATAACTGATGAGTTGCAGATGCTGGAGTGTTGTGTGTTGTTACTAAGTAACTAACTCCTGTGTATCAGCTCACTTAATTCTTCCAGCATCCTGTGAGATAGATTGCATACCATGGACTAGCGTGCTTTTGGGATTAGATGCAAGGAACTGTGTGTCTTCTCTTAGATCACAACTGAAAGAACACATAATCATGGTTGGGGTGGAGGGTGGATAAGCCAAAATATAAGTTTTGGTTGCCTGTAGGTAAGTGATCTAAATGTGAATTCCTATGATTAAAAGTAAACAAAAACAGGATTGATTATAACCTAATTTTTTTTCTTGTAAAACAAGGTTACCTTTTGTTTTTTTTCCTTTTTGGTGGTACTGGGAATTGAACCAGTACCACTCTGTACCACTGAGTTACATACTCAATTCTTTTTTTCTTTTTTCTTTCTTTCTTTTCTTTTTTTTTTTTTTTTTTTTTTTTTTTTTGAGAAAGAGAGTTTTACTAAATTGCAAAGGCTGGTCTTAAACTTGGGATCCTCCTGTCTCAATGTCCATGGTCACTTGGGATCCTCCTGTCTCAATGTCCATGATCACTGAGATTATAGGCATGCATTACCACATCTGGCTAAGGTTGCCATTTTTGTTTCCTTTTTTTGTACATTAAAAATCCAAAAGGAGCAATTTATATATCTCTTTAAAGAACCTGTAGTTAGCCTCTGGATTCAGTCCCCAGTACTAAGGTAGTGGGAGGATGCCATTAGTTCTCGTTTTCTAGTCTAAGAATTTTTGATTATCAATCTTTGAATTTTATTTGTATCTCTTATTTTAAAAATTGGATAAGAGCCGGGTACAGTGGCATGCACCTAATGATCCCAGCTACTCGGGAGACTGAGACAGGAGAATTGTGAGAATTCAAGGCCACTCTGGGTAATTTTAGCAAGATCCTGTCTCAAAATAAGAAAAGGACTAGGAATATAACTCAGTGGTAAAGTGCCCCTGTACCCCAAAAAAAGTAAGTAAATAATCAGGTAAGAAACTAAGGATCCTGCTGGGCACAGTGGTGCATACCTGTAATCCTAGCAGCTCGGGAGGCTGAGGCAAGAGGATTGAGAGTTCAAAGCCAGCCTCAGCAATAGTGAGGCACTAAGCAACTCAGTGAGACCCTGTCTCTAAATAAAATACAGAATAGGGCTGGGGATGTGGCTCAGTGGTCAAATGCCCCTGAGTTTAATCCCTGGTACCCATCTCCCAACCATCCCCCCCCCCAAAAAAAAAAAAAAAACAAGGATTCTGTGTCTTTCAAAAACCTTTTATCATTTATAAATTCTGTGATAGTAAGTATACTTTAGTAACTAGGACATACAGCATAAGCATTAACAACTATATATAATTATAGCTTAATACTGCTCCCCCCCGTGTTGCACTTATTTGACAAATTTCACCTGTTTTTTGTTTGTTTGTTGGTACTGACAATGTTTGCTGTACCATTGAACTCCATCCCCAGTTTTGATTTGTTTTTTATTTTGAGGCAGAGTCTCACTGAATGGTTTAGTGAAACAATGCAGACCTCCTGCCTCAGCCTCCCAAGTTGCTGGAGTTACAGTGTGCTCCACCATGCCCAACAATAAATTTCACTTCTTAGGAATCCAGCAATAATAGGTCATATCAACAAGATTGTCAAGCAGTTAATTCCTTTGAAAGCAAACGTAATTTAGAAAATGTCATATATTCAAAATGGAGCACCTTCTGACTAAAAGACTGTTCATAGAGTTATAATTTCATTTTCATGGACTTCTGAATCTGAGCAACTTTTTTAAAAAGTTCATGTAAGTTTCTATATAAATTTTCATCTTTCAACTGATAAGAAACTTGAGTTACACTAGGTATAAAGGCATTCCAACATCACTGCTAAATTGAGGACATTATGTATAGGTTAGCTTTATATTATTCAGTTGAAATATTTCTGTCTCTGCCATAACTAAAAGAGTTTTGTTTCTAAAAGACCTATTTCTGGATCTAATATTAAACAACTAAATATTTCTGTATATAGATGAAGTTGACATAATGTCTGGGAATTCCTCCAAAATACTGAGGGAGTAGTAGTAACTGGGTGAATCTCTTAAAATGAGTGGTTATAAATTGATCATGTTGAAGTTGGATGATAGATACATGGGAGTTACACTGTCTTTTATGTGTTTGACATTTTGCATAATGAGTTTTTTTTTTTTTTAAGTAATTGTTGTTTTTTACCCTTTCACTTTCTAGGATTCTTACAGAAGCAGAGATTGATGCTCACCTTGTTGCACTAGCAGAGAGAGACTAGACATTGTCATTAGTTTACCAAATCCATGATGCCACTTGTCTGTGTGTTTGGTAACAACAAACCAACATTATAGAGGCCCTGGATTGAAAAAGGAACCTCTCCCACTCCTACTACTGAAGTAGTTAGGACTCTGTATAAATAAAAACAGTGCTTTTGGAAAAATGGTATTTAACTTTTTTGCCTCCAGTTTTAAGTATTAATCCTTTAGTACCTGCAGAGTGTTAAGTATTTGCCATCTTCATATGATAGCGTTAGTCATTTTGTTGGCAGAAATGCAGGTTTTACTGGGCAGGTGGCACACATTTGTAATCCCAGCAATTTGGGAGCCTAAGGGGGATTCCAAGTTCAAGGCCACCCTCAACAATTCAGTAAGATACTCTCAAAATAAAAGATAAAAAAGGGCTATGGATAGAGCTCAGTGGCAGAGCACCTCTGGGTTCCATCCCTAGTACAAAAAAAAAACCAAAACAGAAATACAAGTTTCCTTGATTTGAGGGACTTAGCCCCAGATTTATCCTATAGCTATAAGGCATAATTAATAATAGCAGACTACAACACTGGCTTTGAAACCATCTCTGACTAAACTAGCATGTGAGACAAGGCTTTTATTTTACAGTTCCTCATTCTAATGGGCTATTGCTAAATCTGGAAGGCTTTACCTATAATAAAAAAAATTAGCCTATTGGTCTTCAGTAGGTTGTCTTCATTTAGGTTTGGGGTGGGGAGTTGGTACTGGGGATTGAACCCAGGACATGCTCTACCACTGAACTATCAGCAGTCTTCAACCAGTGAACTAAACATTTAATCTTTACTCAATTGTAGAATTGTAATTAACCTTCAGAAAATAGCTGTGAATGTTCAGAAAATAGCACAGTGTGTATTTTCTGTGCTTGAAGTATTGAAAACAATAAGAAATCAGGTTATTCCCTGCTCCCCGGCCCTTTTTTTTTTTTAAATTGTGAGAGTCTCACTAAGTTGCCAAGGCTGGCCTCCAACCTGTAAGTAATCCTCCTGCCTCAGCCTCCGAAGTCACTGGGTTATAGGTTGGTGCCATGCCCAGCTAAGGAATTTCTTTAATGTTTAGAGAGAATGACATTAGCAATGTTAAGGAAATACAAAGTAAACTGTATATGCAAAATTATCCATTTGTTTTTTTGGTTTGTTGCTACCAGGGATTGAACCCGGGGCACTTAACCACTGAGCCATATCCCCAGTCCTTTTTTTTTTTTTTTTTAATTTTGAGACAAGGTCTTGCCAAGTCGATAAGGGGCTCCCGAAGTTGCTGAGGCTGGCCTTCAAACTTTTGATCCCTCTGCCTCAGCCTCCCAAACTGCTGGAATTATAGGTGTATGCCACCACAACCGGCTCATTTAGGTTTTTTAATGTACAGGATTTAAGGTTTTAAAATTTTTAGAGTGATTCCCTAGAGAAATGAACTACTAATTTATAGATAATCCAGAAATCCTGGAGTGAGGCTAATACATTTCATGTCCTCATTTTTACCAGGTGAGACTGATGGTAATGACCTCAAACGGGTCACTTTGGCTGCTACTTCCAATCCTTAAAATCAGAGTTGTTCCTGTTTGCAGCCATCAGGCCCATACAGGGAGGCCATGGGAGCATGTGACCACTAGAAGCAGGAAACTTCACCAACCACATCCTCTACAGAGCTGAGTCAAGAGTAATAAAGTTTCCTAAGAGGGAAGCAGGACTTTCAGTTTAGAGACTGCCACTTAGATTACCCATCAAAATCCATTAGGCTCTCTGAAGGTGCTAGCATTCTTTTGAAAGTGGGGTCTGTAGGACTACTCCCCCACATAGACTGAAATATACCCTTGGACCCTTGACTGATACCATACCTCTGGAATCATGGATGAAAGACTAGCAAATAACTCAAGTGTTTCTATAAGAAGATTTGGGATAGAAAAATTCTGGCTAGAAACAGTGGTGCACACCTGTAATCCCAGCAATTTGGGCTGAGGCAATAGGATCCCAAACTCAAGGCCAGTCTGGGCACTTAAGCAACCTGTCTCAAAAAAAAAGTATATTATATTGGTTAAATTACTTGAGGGGCTGGGGATGTGGCTCAAGCGGTAGCGCGCTCACCTGGCATGCACGAGGCACTGTGTTCGATCCTCAGCACCACATAAAAATAAAGATGTTGTCTCCGCCAAGAACTAAAAAATAAATATTAAAAAAAATTACTTGAGAGAATTGGAAGAAATTGTTCTATTTTCATATGTGAACTTTAAATTGTGTTTTTAAAAAACTAGTCTGGGGGGCTTGGGATATGGCCCAAGCGGTAGCTCGCACGCCTGGCATGCGTGCGGCCCGGTTCGATCCTCAGCACCACATGCAAACAGAGATGTTGTGTCCGCCAAGAACTAAAAAAAATAAATAAATATTAAAATTTAAAAAAATAATAAAAATAAAAAACTAGTCTGGGATAGATAACAGCTAATTCGAAAATGTTACCCAAAATACTAAGAAAAATGCCTTAGATCTTTAAAAAGGTATTTTTATAAGCTAATATATATACAGACAGAATATAAGAATATTGACAGGGGTTTGTTCAGACATGATTGAATGTAAACTATTTGGGTAAATACCTGGCTTTCCTTCTCTTGCTACCTCAGTTTGAAGGAACAGTTTTCATGAACCATTTAAGAAATGTGAACAACAAATCAGGTTTTGGCTTTCCTCACTAGCCCTCAAATTCAAAATTCGAATTTGTGCCATAATCAAATTATTATATAAATGATCTTAAAGATCTCTTTTAGAGTTAAAAAAGCTAAGATTAAATACATTTGTTGATCTGAATTTCCAAAAATAAAAGGAAAAAAATCTAAGTTGACAGAGATGTAATGGTGAATTAATAGGAGGTTCTTCCATTGAAATCAAGAATGATCTCAGGCTGACTGTTATCCATTTATTTTACATTCTGGAAAAATCTAGCTAACTCAATAAGATGAAGTTAAAAGGTATCAGGAGATAGTACTATAATTAGCTGTTTAGATTGTTTACCTTAAAAAAAAAAAAAAAAAGAAAAGACCTAGGGGGGCTGGGGTTGTGGCTCAGTGGTAGAGCACTTGCCTAGCACATGAGAGGCATTGGGTTCGATCCCCAGTGCCACATAAAAATAAATGAACAAAATAAAGGTATTAAAAAAAAAAAAAGACCTAATAAAGTATCAGCTTTTATTGGGGCAGGTCCTGTCTTTTTATTCTTTAAACTATTTTAAATTTAATATTTAATTTCAGCCATCTAGTTGTCTCCAGTTTCAAAAGCAAGGATCTCTTAAAACTCTTAGTAGTAAAATATGAGCTAAATAGATTTGAAGCCCTTCATGTTCTTCATTATCTATCTCACTTTATCTTTGCAAAAATAAAGCAAGATCACAAATTCAAGGCCAGCCTGGGCAATTTTAGCAAGACTGCCTCAAAAAATAAAAAGGGATGGGGAAGTAGCTTAGTGTCAGAACACCCCCTAGGTTCAATCCCCAGTACCAAAAAAAAAAAAAAAGTGTAGTTAATGTGTTTAATATTCCCCTACTGAAGGTTCATGTTAAGTAATTTGGCCAGGATCAGACAACTAACAAGTGGGAAGGACTAGATGAGATGCCACAATGGTCTTATCTCAGACATGTCTTTGTTAGGACATTAGATGAAATCTATAATTATCCTTTGTCAAGTTTCCCTTTCCCCATGACCGCACCCCCCCAAAAAAAAGTTAAAAATAACTATTTTCATATACCAGGAACAATTGCTTAGTAGTATGGCACCTATAACCATACAACCATGAACCCACCTGATCTCATCAGAAAACAGAATTAGTGTGTGAAACAGTAGCCACAAAAACATAAAATGTCTAGGAATAATCCTAACTGGAAAATACTGATCCATACGAAGGAAACAAACAAAAAAAAAAAACAGACACATCTGGCTCCTGGCTGGGAGCACTGAGTACTGTGAAGTTAATTCTTTTCCAAACTAATGTGATTAAAGTTATTTTAGTTAAAATACTAGAACACTTTTTAAAACTTGGGATTGCCCAGAAACAGACCTTAGCATATGTAAGTAAGAATTTAATTGAAGATAAAATTAGCACCACAAAGCAATAGGGAAGTAATTCTGAGGGGAAAATGACTATATAGAAGAAAAAAAAAATGTTCCTTGTTTTACATTGCACACCAAAATAAAACCCAGGTGGCTCAGATAATTTTTAAAAATGTTTTAAGAGAAAGAAAAAGTAAAGGGGAAAAGCTTGGGATTAGAAACATCCCCAAATGATGAAGCACCTTTCTAAACAAAAGCACCTTTCAAATCATGAAAGGGAAAAAAAAAATTTTGTATATCTCACTACTTAAAATGTCACATTTTGCTAACCAGAAAATACCTATCAAAATAAAATTCAAGTAGTAAGAAAATACTAAGGAAAACAAAAAGGTAAGAAAATACCAGCACATAAATAGAAGTATAATAACACTACAGACAAGTCATGGAAATTTCCTAGTCAATAAACTTGAAAAAATGGTCAATCCAAATTTTAAATGAAAATTATAACATTTTCTATCAAATTACTAAAATTTAAAACAATACATAATGTACTTGACACATTGCAAATGTTCAATAAATATTTGTTTTTGCAAAGGGAATGATGAGGTACATTTAAAGTCAGCTGGTCAGATAGCATGGCACATGCCTCTAATCCCAGGAGCCTGGGAGGCTTAGGCAGGAGGATCAAGAGTTCAAAACCAGCCTCAGCAACATCAAGGCACTAAGCAACTCAGTGAGACCCTGTCTCTAAATAAAATATAAAATAAATCTGGGGATGTACCCCTGAGTTCAATCCCCAGCACCCCCACCTCCAAAAAAACAAAATCAGCTGCTCCGGCTGGTATAAGTGTATACATATTCCTTGAAGGAAACCTAGGCATATGCACCAAATGGCTTCATCCTTATCCACTCCCTCCTCCCCCTTAAACCCAGGAGTAACTTACACACAACTAACCCCCCCAGCCATTATTATTATTATTATTATTATTATTATTTATTAATTTTGGGACAGGATCTTGCTAAGTTACTGAGGTTGACTTCAAACTTGAGATCCTCCTTCCTCATCCAAGTGAGTGGGATAAAAGATATGCACCACCACACCCAGCAATTCTGTTCGTAAAAATTTGTCAAACATGCATAATTAGATACAATGATACAGTTTTTATTTTAAAATTACATAGCATTCAATACTGTGCAAAAATTAAATTATATGGCATTCAATTCTGAGGAGTATTGTGCAGCCATTAAAACCCTTGTGTTGAATGCGCTCTCGCTCTCTCGGCCCCGCCCCACATCTGCGTGTGTGGAGCGGGCAGGAAATTGATCTCCAATTTAGGCGTCCTATGCTGTTTGCCCGAAGGCCTCTCCTGCATTCACAGTTTATTAAGCTCCAACTTGAATTTAAGACGCAGGTGTTCTCATTTCACAGCCAGAGAAACGGATGCCAGGAAGTGTTCTTTCACCCTGCTCCATGCCAGCACTCATCATTCAGAAAAATTTGGTTAAAATTGGGCTGAGGTTGTGGCTCAGCAGTAAAACGCTGGCCCAGGGTTCGATCCTTAGCACCACATAAAAATAAATAAATAAAATAAAGGTATTGTGTCCAACTACACTAAAAAAAAAAAATGGTTTAAATCGTTTAATCAGCTGGGGTGGTGGCGCATGCCTATAATCCCAGCGGCTCCAGGGAGACCGGAGGATCGTGAGTTCAAAGCCAACCTCAGGAAGAGCGAGGGCTAAGCAACTCAGTGAAACTCTGTCTCTAAATAAAATACAAAATAGGGCTGGGGATGTGGCTCAATGGTTGAGCGCACCTCAAGCCCTTTCCTCCCTCCTTCATCAGCACAAGTGATCCCAGAGAACTTGTTTCCCTATGTGGCACTGACACTTGGCACCAAAGCTCTGTTGTTCTCTTCACTGAAAACCAGCAAGTAACTACACAATTTGATTAAGTTGACTAAACTAAATCCATAATAATTTTAGTTGTTACAAGTGGAGAAAAAAAATGAAATGCAAAAGCCCTCTGGCAGCCAGTTAAGAGGCAGCTAGGCCCAGCCCTCAACCCTCTGAATCCCCGATGGCAAATTTTTATGCTCCCAAATGCAAGGGTGAGTCACTTTACTATTTCCCTTGATCTGTGTGAAAATTCTTACTTTTGAAAGTAAGTAGAGGCCGTCATTATTACAAAGAGTGATAACCACAAAAGGATCCAGTTTAAAAAAATATATTATTGACATAACTAGTAAAGTAATAAGATTACTAAGATTACAGAACAAAATGAATTTACTTCTTATTTTCATATTGCCTTGAATTTTGAAACATTAAATGAAAGCTGTAAGCTGTTTACTAGTTTTCAAAATGCACTATTTCTTACTGATAAACTTAAACAGATTTCTAAATAGATGCACAAAGCACTTAAGTGTTATGATTTATGTCCTTCAGTTAAAAACTTTTTTCCACGTGACTAGAGAAAAACAACTCGTGCATGGTTGTTGCAGTCCTTTGTGGTCGGGATGGCCCTACAGGAACTAAAATGCTTGATTTCACAGAAGCCATATATTAGAACTTTTAATGCTTAAAATGTTTCAAATGCTTCAAGGCAAAACCAAAAACCTTTCTAGAATGAAGGTAATTCTTATCTAAAGTAATCTTAGATTTTAAATTCAGCATTAGCAGTCCAATAAATATTCACTGTTCTTCATTTAGAAACATTGTTTAGGGTAAAAACTATCCAGTATACAATAACTGAATAGTATAATATCTTACCTTCCCTTCCTTTTGAAGAAGGTAACTATCTCAACCCCCCGTACCCAAAAGAAAAAAAAAGCGGGGGGTGGGAGGGTGGGTGGAAACCTTGTGTTGGGCTAAGGTTGTGGCTCAGTGGCAGAGCACTTGCCTGGCATGTGTGAGCACTGGGTTCGATCCTCAGCACCACATAAAAATAAAAAAATAAAAATAAATGTATTGTGCTTATCTACAACTAAAAAAAAAACCTATTAAAAATAATCAAACCTGTGTTGACAAACATTTAGTGACATGAAAAACAGGTAACATTATGTAAGAAACAGGATACATACAGTGTAGTCGTGGGGGAATAG